GGAGGGAGGGAGGGAGGGGCTACACGGCCTGCACGGCGATGACGGCCGCGGGACTGTCACGCTGCTAGGTGGAGGAGGTCGTGAAGGTCGCAATCAATGTGTGCGGGGAGGAGGGAGGGAGGTAGGAGGGAGGAGTGAGGGAGGTATGGAGGGAAGGAGGGGCTACACGGCGGGGGAGGTGGAGGAGGAAGAGAAGGTGGAGGTAGAGGAGGAAGGGAGAAGGTGGATAAGAAAAAGATGGAAGGAGGAGGTGGAGAAGAAAGGGGAGGTGAAGGAAGAGGAGAAGGTGGAGGGAGGAGGTAGAGGAGGAGAAGGTGCAAGGATGAGGGGGAGGTGCAGAAGGGGGAGGGACGAGGTAGAGGAGCATGGGGAGAACGTGGAGGAGAGAAAGGTGGAGGGAGGAGGTAGAGGAGAAGGTGGAGGGAGGAGGTAGAGGAGAAGGTGGATGAGGAGAAGGTGGAGGGAGGAGGTAGAGATGAAATGAGAGGGAGAGGAGGAGGAGAAGCTGGAGGGAGGAGGTAGAGGAGGGGGAGAAGGTGGATGAGGGGAAGGTGGAGCGAGGCGGTAGAGAAGGAGGAGGAGGAGGATGAGAAGGAGGGGGATGTGAAGGAGGAGGAGGAGAAGGTGGAGGAGGGAAAAATGTGGAGGGAGGAGGTAGAGGAGGAGGGGGAGAAGGTGGAGGAGGATGAGAAGGTGTAGGAAGAGGGGGGAAATGAGGAGGAGGGGGTGAAGGTGGTGGAGGAGGAGGAGGAGGAGTGGGAGGTGGAGGATGAGGAGAAGGTGGAGAGAGGAGGTAGAGGAGCATGGTGAGAAAGTGGAGGAGAAGGTGGAGCGAGGAGGTAGAGGAAGTGGAGGAGGAGAAGGTAAAGGGAGGAGGTAGAGGAGGTGGAGGAGGAGAAGGTAGAGGGAGGAGGGGTAGGTGGAGAAGGTGGAGGGAGGAGGGGGAGGTGGAGAAGGTGGAGGAGGAGAAGGTGGAGGGAGGAGGTAGAGGAGGATGGGGAGAAGGGAGAGGAGGAGAAGGTGGAGGGAGGAGGTAGAGGAGGGGGAGAAGGTGGATGAGGAGAAGGTGGAGGGAGGAGGTAGAGGAGGAGGGGGAGAAGGTAGGAAAGGAGGGGAAGGTGGAATATAGTCGGAACATAAGGGTGTCGGAACATAGAGCACTCACCGTGCGATAGTGAGCGGGGTGTATTTTGGGATGTGTGAATCGAATTATGAGAGTCACTATATTATTTAACTTTCTGCCGATATCTAATTACCAGAGAAAGTCACCTTAACTATCAGTCTCGTATGAACGTTGTTGAGCTACTTGCCGGAAATAAAACCACCAGCTAAAGGCATCGATGCTTATGATACATTAAATGTACATATCTATTTCCATTTCCATTTCCATACATGGGCTCTTTGCTTTGTCAGCGATCCAGTCATTGTGATGGACTTAGTTTATTTCTCATCAGTCTACTCGTAAATGTGTTCTCTTTATTTTAAATAGCGGGCCTGCGGGTAGAAACAGAGTAAGAAGTAATTGGGGAACACGGGATAAATGTATAATATTGTAATTGTCATAGAAATAGTATGGTAAATGTAATGGTAATTGTAATTGTAATTTAAATTAACAAGAAAATTGCGTAAACAGTTGTTCTTCTCGCAGAACGGCTCCTTCTATCTATTTGAATGCATTATTTTAACATAATTATGAATTTGTGGCAGATAGTGGGTTGCATGATTTTGTTTATGGGTATGCGCGCGCGAGCACACACGCACGCACACACACACACACGCGCACGCACACGCACACGCACACGCACACACGCACACGCACAGAGAGAGAGAGATTATAGCTATTGACAAAAATCTCTTTATCTCTCACCATCTGCCTCTCTAAATCTCTTCCCATATCTCGGTCCTCCTCCACCTTCTCTGCACATTCCTTGTGCTTCATCCGCTGAATGAATGGTCTCGCCTTCTTAATACGACGATATAACGCAGCAGCACCTATAGCGATGAAATTCTACTCCAATGCAGAAT